GTGCTCCAGCTGGGTACTTGAATCCTGAACTGGAAATTTTTCAAGGAAGCTTCTTCAGTTCTTTCATTTTTTGAGTATTTTTTAAATGTCCAAAGCAATAGGAAACATTTCGTCATTACTCAGTGGAACCTACCTCATTCCCAGCTATCTAAGATGGTTATAATTTTTTTTAAAGTCTAGACATTCAAAACCTTTTCCTAAGCTGTATTTATGACACAAAATTTAACTTGTGAAGACAGCAAATGTTCACAAATCTGAAAATATTTAACTTAGAAAGTGAAACAAATGTAAATACAGAGGAACCATTAATTTTTATATTATTATATTAGTGAATAAGTAGTAACTATGTCATGTTCTATAAGACAGTTGGCAGTTGATTTTCTGTTACCAATCATTTAGGCTAATAGGGGGTCTAGAAAAAGCATTTAAATGGATGTAAAGCACAAGGGTAGTTAGTAACCTTGGCATTTAAATGGCAAGAGATTAAGCCTGAAGCTCTTTGAAAAATAAGAGCATTTGAATAAAGCTTGCATAGGTGAAAGAAAGACGCAAATATTGTTAGTTCATATGTAAATTTTATATATAAATGTTACTGCTGATTTGAAGATTTGTTTTTGTTAACAGGATTATTATTTTTGGTCCTATATATTAGACAGTGTACTGAATAGCTGTGTAATTTTCTAATGGCATTCCAGTTCTTCCTTCTTCACTTCCTCATTTTTTAAATTGACCTCAGTTCTTTTGTGGTAAATACTGTGTTTTCTCATGTGCACTGCATGCCTGCAAGCACAGTTTGTTTCCTTTTTCTTGTTTCATTCGTTTGGCAAGGGAAATAGAAAAATCTGACAAGGAGTCCCAGGGCTTTTTGGAATGTGTTAAGGTGTCTGCTTTTCTTTGGGAACGGTCCCTTTGACTGTCTCAATGTAAAGCTAAAGGGAGGATGCTGCCAACACCTTTGCAATTTTAAAAGCTTGTGAGTGAACTGTCGTGTCCTTCTCATCTCCCAGAGAGAATGGGAAGGTGTAGCTACACATTAGAAATGCAGGACTTTCAGTTTTTTTGAGTTGAGCTTCACCAACTGCGGCTATGAACACAGGTTTGCTATGATGCAAAATAAACAGACTTCTTTGCAATTGAGATAATTATGGTGCAAACAGAACATTACAAGAAAAATAAGGATAAGCAGACATTGCAACAAATAATACTTCTTTTTTTCTGTCCTTGGAAAGTGAAACAGCTAGTAAACCGAAATGTGGTTGTGTGTTAAAATTGAAAATTCCAAAAGATAGGAATAGGACAATAGGAACATGTTCATGCATATTAGAACAGAATACTTCCTTATTGTGCTTGATAAGTCTGCATGTTCAGCTTTTTTGAATCCATCTGCCGTGGACTGTAAAAGAAAATTGACCTTTAGTCTCTTTGTAATTAGGTTAACACATAGGTTTAAGAATACAATCACATACTCCAAATAGTCAGTTTTATTTCACCTCACTGTGCTAAGTATTATCTGTCAGACTCTCTGATGCTTTATCTAACAATTAATTTAGAAAGAATATCTCTTCTCAAGCATAGAGGATACATTAGCAGACCACGCTTTCAGAGCT